GGGGGGGTATAGTAGAAACGAGGTCTATCATAACACCCACCCCGCACAAGCTACCCGGGGGTGTACAATTACGGGGGGGTGTTTTGTCCGGGAGAATACGGTACTGCCCCACGTCCGAGATGGCAGCTGATTACTTGACCAAGAAACTCGGAAAACAGAAGTTCGAGTACTGCATGCTGCTGACTGGACAGAGCCACGTCATCAGCAGCGACACTCCAGAAGCGAAGGGGAGTGTTGGAAACAATTGATTTAAGCGCCCCTGTCGTGCCGAAACACCAAGAAAGTGAAGCACAACACATCGAAGCATTAGCGAGTCAACCCTCGGAGGTTGAGCAACTGCTGGAGGTTACGCGAAAGTCAAAGGTCAGCGACCTTGGACCTGACAAGTACAGCGCGACAGCAAGGACAAACAACTGACTCACTATTGAGCAGTTGCCCGAGTCGTCACTGTATCGAACCGCAACAACAACAGCAAAACAGTTACCGTATTCTCCTGGATAAAACACCCCCCCGTAATTGTACACCCCCGGGTAGCTAATACGGGGTGGGTGTTATATCCGACCCCGTTTGTACTATACCCCCCCTTTTGGGGTGATTTTCTATAACACCCCCCTTTTCTTATAGATTCATATTATAGCTGTTATCGAGTCCGATTCCTTACGGGAGATATCGCGAGAATTGCTCCCTAGGTGAAATTTCACGTGTACTTTCACTTAGAATCTGCCAAGATTTCCCCCCTCCCACAATCTCGCTGTCGCCACGCTGACGAATCTTCCGCTGCAAGTGGCCCAATAGGTGAAAATCATCTTCTCACATGAGGCACAGATACGTGACCAAACCAGTCAAGAAGTGACTGGTACAGTAAGAACGCACCACCGTGCGCGATTCTGGCCTCGGCGGTTGCATGAACCCTCGCCACGCAATTGGCTTTGTTTTCACCCTATCAAGTGCCAGAATTGCCCACTCGAATTTGCAACGTGGCAGATTCCAGTGGGCGGTCACGTTATCCTCGTATACTCGGTTTTGCGGCACTGGTCAACAATCTTGAAGTGGAGTCAGGCCCCTGATTTTGTTTCACATCTTTTCTACTTGATAAAAAATATACCATATAATAAGACCCGGGTATTATTAGGATTTTCCTTTGAGGAGACCCCCCCCATTTTTTCCCAGTGGTTTTCATAATACCCTAGGGTGTTTTATCCGGGAGAATACGGTATTAGTTATAACCCTTCATATTCCCTTGTACTCTTATAAAAGGCTTGTATCTCTTTGTGTTTAATCAATCTACTTTGCCCTCTCATACTAGCGCAAAGTGGTTCACAACTCTTCATTAAACGCTTCCGCTATTACCAGTCCTACCAGGAGTTTAGTCCTGTAAAGATCCTAAGGGCCTTTTGAGCCCAACACAAAGCACCTGTTCAGAATGTTGATGCTACTGTTCTGGCTTTGTACACGCTGCAGCTGCTCTGCACCAAATTTGAACCCTTACAGCCCCATACTACCATTTATGCCCCTGCATGTATCTGTTAATGATTGTCCTGAGTCCTGACCCTTACACCCTGCACCTGTTTCTGCCTCTTCAACCTGTTACTGCATCTGTTCCGGTTCCTTCAACCCTAGACCTGTTAATTCTCCTTCAACACTGCACCTGTTATCGCCCCTATAACCCTGCACCTGTTCCTGCGGCCCTACACCTGTTCTTGCTTGCCTGTTCCAAAACTCTTTCCCTATGACCAGCCCCTGAAACTGACACTTGACCTGCTACCCCTGTTCCCTGACCCTGCATGCTGCACACAAGCAGATCAAGATTCAGCCTGAACAAAAAAACAAACAAACAAATCCTGTCTTGCTACCCTGTAATCCTGCAAAACAAATGCCCTGCATCCCACAAAGAACATGCAAGTGCATGCGCATAAACCAGAGGGAGAACATAGAGGACCTCAGCACGGCCTCTCATGGTGCCACCCTGCACAAGGGCAATACACGAGGGATCTAAGAGAGAACGCCAAAGCAGCACGTAGCACTTTAAGCCCCTGCTTGTCAGCAGAATGGTCTCAAGTCTACATGTTGGTCTCAGCGAGCTTGGCGTCTTGGCATTGTTGAATGCCTGTGGAACAGCCACACAGATAGATGATGCCCTGACAAGAGAATGAGGTGCTGCCCCCACGTCCTCTGCAGATGAGGCCCTCAAAATCCGACTTCAAAGAAGATGCGCTAACATTGCCGCCCTGCAGCTGCAGAAACACCCAAACAAGCACAACAGAAGGCCACAGCATACACCCTCAGGAGGGTTTCAGTGTGCCAGGCACTTAGTACTGCTGCGGAGGGTAGTCGCGCCTGTCCCCGCCGCCTCCTGCTCCGTACCCGTCATACTCGCGCCGCTCATGCTGCCCCTGCTGTGGAGGCAGCACCGGTGGCGCACCACCACCACCACCACCAGCGCCGTACCCTCCGTCCCTGCCGTCGCCCTGGTAACCGCCGTACCCCCCTGGCGCGCCCCTGTAGTCCCCTGCAGGAGGCCCGTATCCCCCCCGCGCGTCAACTGGCGCACCATAGTCACGCGGCGGAGCTCCGTCCTGGTACCCACCACCGCCACCAGCGCCAGCACCATACGCATCGTAGCCTCCCCTGCCGCCGCCACCACCCCCCGCGCCTCCGCCATACCCGCCGTTGTACCCATCGTACCCACCCCCGCCTCCCCCCTGGTACCCTCCCCTGTCTGCGCCACCCCCGCGATCCCCTCCCTCGTACCCTCCGCCTCCCCCTCCGCCAGCAGGCGGCCTGTCCCGCTCCTCCCGCGCACGGTTCCACTGTTCGATCTTTGCGCGCCGTTCCGCGCTGCCCTCGCGCACGGGGCTTCTGCTGCGGCTGCGCGACCGCCGCCCGCGACGCCGGTCGTCGAAGCGGCGGTCGTCGTAGCGGTCGCGGCCCCGCCCTCCGCCGCCGTACCCGCCTCCGCGGCCGTAACCGCCGCCGCGACGGTCGTCATAACGGTCGTTTCTGCCGCCGCCGCCGCGAGGGGGGCTGCGGCTGCGGCTCCGCCTCCTGTCCCCGAAAAGCTTCCGTCGAAGCTCCCTGAAAGTAAATAAAACGTGTACCAAGAAATAAGTAAGATGTTGCAAATACCGTCGTGTGCACTAAGACGGCGATAGCACATGCAGAAAAGGATAAACAGCTTAAAAGCTGCATTTCCGTAGCGGAAAAAGAAGTTTCAAAGTGAAGGGCCGAGAGGGAGGCGGCGTGGGAAGGGCACCTGCTGATTTTCTTCAGGTGCATAAAGTTGCAGTAGCCGCCGCGGTTGCACGTGTTCTCCTCGTACTGCCGACACGTGGCCTCGCGGAAGTCGGTGACGGGCGAGAAGTCCACCAGAATGGGCCGCCCTGAGAGCACGTGAGAACGAAGCGGATTGTAAGGAGGATAGTGAGGCCGATCGTAAGGCGGATGGTGCGGAGGATGATGTGGCGGATGGTGCGGCCGAACACAAGGTGGATCATTTGCATGTGTGAGCGACTAAGAGGACGCGTAAAAGGGCCAAAAAGAAGCTGCGTGACAAAGTAAGTAACGACGAGACACCAACCTGCATAAAAGCGGCCAGTGAGCGCCCTGAGAGCAGTCGCAGCCTGCTCCTCCTCGCGGAAGTTGACGTACACGTTGCCCACCTGCACGCGCATCACACACACGCCAAACGGTCAGTCAAACGCAATCTCCCCAAGCAGCAAAGTATCGTGTAAAAAAAAAAAAAAGATCAACAAGTTCGGCAGCAGGACGTGGAGCAGGCAGCTCGAGGGTTGGCGAGGTGACCATGTGGTCGGCGAGGTTGTCGCAGATGTTGAGGCTGTTGAGCTCGCCGTACTTGCTGAGCTCCTCGAAGAGATCCTCGTAAAAGTCCTCGTAGTGCTCCTGAATCTTCTTCGGATCCATCGTCTTGTCCGGCTCGCCGCCCGGTGTCGCCATGTCGGGCCGCTGGTACATGTTGGCCAGGAGAAGAGTCGGACTGATGGTCGGCCTGGCAGCGATAATGACAAGAGAAACACACAGAGCAGAAATGACGGTGCGATAAGAATGACAATATCGAGGCGAGACAGATAAAGGTTATAATGAAGCGGAACGGGAGGCACGAGGGGAGGAACGATGCGCTGCGGGAGTGGGTGAGTAGCGACAAAGGTGTCATGCAGCACCTGTTGTGAAGACGCGAGCAGCGATCGCCGTGGCGGCACGCGCCGATCTTGAAGTAGAAGGGACAGTTCACCCTGTCCTTCTCCGTGCCGAAGATGGACGCGAGATGTTCCGCCATGGCTGCACGAAACCTGTCGCACCCGTGCGTGGGTTACGGAAACAACGAGGGACGAGAGGCTGGTACTAGTATCCAGAACAAGAGGGGCGTTACTTATAATCAGCTAATAAGAGGTAAATCCGATGGCTGACTACTTAGTTGTGCCTGCTCCATTGGATAACCCTCACAAGAAACTTGAGCAAAGGGTTGTGTAGGCGCGAGCAGCGATGGAATGGAAGCATCCAGAACTTCAACAGTTGGCTCGTCGCGAGCACGACGAGAGCATGGGCGAAAGATCGCCATGTTACGAGATACAAGCTACCATCAACAAGCACGAGTGGAAGTGAAAATTATATGGCATAGCGTTTACTTCCAAACCTCACTACCGAGTACCCGTTTCAAAACTTGCAGACCTCACAAACGCGTACGGGTTTCAAAGTTTGAATTCGAGCTGCACAGTACTACCAAAACTGCCACTCTCGTCTCATGAGATTGAAGCCGAGTTTGCCAACACTACCTTATTTGTGGGAACGTGTGATTTTGAAGCCGCCATTCCCGTAGACCCAGTGTTTAGCACCCTCATGTTTCTCCGTTCTGGCCGTCCTTTCTATTCCTAAGATACTACTTATTCGTCACCATCTAATTTAGCATGCCTGCTCACTGTATGCCAGCAAATACAAACGATAATGTCGCCGATGGTAGCGATAACGCCAGCGGCAGGGGAACCATGATCCGAGCAATTGATAAGGCCGCCATTCACCGCATATGCTCGGGACAGGTGAGCCCGAATAGCTCAAGAGTTTAAACTACTCTAATGTTTTTATTGCAATAGCGCAGTTTCCTGCACGACGTCGTCTGCGGCGCGCAGTCTGTCGCACTCCCCCTACGCTCCTCTCGACCCGGAACCCCCCGTATTGTCTCCCGCTCGCCGCTCATCTTTGGCCAAGTATAAATTTGGCGCGCGGATCACCGCACGCCTCGCCGCAGAGCACAGCCCTGACACGTGTTGAGAGGTTGCTGAACAGGAGTTTGAAACCCGTCGCAGTTGAGCCGACTCAAAAACATATTCTTTGTCGCCCCGCTAGTTCACACCTCGTCCTCGTGTGATTCAGGTGCCGCTGGGCCTGGCGACAGCGGGGAAGGAGCTCGGGAGAGCAGCCATTGTGATGCCCTTTCCGCCGCCTCCTGCTCCTCCACCCCCTCCTCCATCCGCCGACGCTGTGTCACGCAGGTGGTGCTGGACGTGGCAGCAGCAGTGAAGGAGCTGGTGGAGACCAGCCTCGACGCGGCAAAGCACCTGCTACTTCCTGCCTCCAAGTAACCCTTTCCCCCCTTCCTCCTCTCTCTGCTCTTGCAACCCTTACCCCGCGCAGGTGGTGCTGGACGTGGCAGGGGCGGTGAAGGAGGTGGGTGGAGACCAGCCTCGACGCGGCCTGTGAGAGACCTGCTCTTTTCCACCACTTAAACCCTGTTCAACCGCCCCTGCCCATCCCTCTCTCCATCCCACTCCCCCCCGTAGGTTGTGCTGGACGTGGCAGGCGCGGTGAAGGAGCTGGTGGAGAACAGCTTGGACGCGGGGGCGACGAGCGTGGAGGTGCGCCTCAAGGACTTCGGCGCAGAGCTCATCGAGGTGGCCGACAACGGCTGTGGGGTCGCGCCCCCCAACTGGCAGGTGACTCCTGAGCTGCCTAGGCAGCGTTGAGCGGGCTCTAAGGGCGGTCAAGGGGCGTTGAGGCCGGTCAATGGGCGTTGAGGGCGGTCAATGGGCGTTGAGGGCGGTCAATGGGCAGCCTGGACGCGGGGGGCGCGAGTTTGGAGGTGTTGGTGAAAGAGTGGGGTGAGGAGCTCATTGAGGTGAGGTGCTCATTGAGGGGGCAGACGCCGCCTGTGGAGTTTCGCCTCCCAACTGGCAGGTGACGCCTTGGACTGGACTGCCCAAGGTTTCCTTAACGGTGGCCAAGGGGCGTTGCATTCGGTCACGAGGCGTTGAGGGCGGTCAAGGGGCGTTGAGGTGGGAGCAGAGCGAGTGTGGCATGACGGGTGACAGCTGGTGAGTGAAGTCCTGAATAGTCCTGGGCTCTCACGGCCCGTGACTCACGGGAAAGGAAGTGTATTTTGAAAGCAAGGAGGTGTTGTGAGTGAGGGTGGTGCAGGGGACGTGTTGAGGGGAATGGGGGCGTTATTACAGGATTGCATCTTACGCTCTTGCCATCCGTCCATCCTCTTCTCGGCGTTTGAAGTGCTTCAGTGTTGGACCCTACATCCCTTCAGTGTTCCAGCCACTCCACCTGCCCTCCCCCATCTCTTCCCCCATCTCTCCCCACCTCGCACCACTGCAGATGCTGACCCTCAAGTATTACACATCCAGATTGCCCACTTTTCCGACCGACTTGCAGTTGGACCAAGGTTGAACTTTGAGTCACTTAGGAAGGCATTGCTGTCGTCCCCTCCCCCGAACCTCCCTCACTGCACCACTGCAGGCACTGACCCTCAAGTACCACACGTCCAAGATCGCACACTTCTCCGACCTCCAATCGCTCTCCTCCTTCGGCTTCCGAGGGGAAGCCCTCTCCTCCCTCTGCGCCCTTGCTGACGTCACCATCACCACACGCACCGCGAACGAGCCAATCGCGACGCGCCTGGTGTTCGACCATGGGGGAAAGCTCCTGCCCGGGCCTCGGGAACAGGTCGCCCGGGCAGTCGGAACGACGGTCAGCGTGGCGAAGATTTTCTCGCCGCTGCCCGTGCGGCGGCGGGAGTTTGAGCGGAACGTGCGGCGCGAGTTTGCGAAGCTGGTGAGCGTCTTGCAGGCGTACTGCGTGGTGTCCACACACGCGCGCATCCTCTGCACCAATCAGAGCGGGCGCAGCAGCGCGCGCACCACTGTGGTGCAGACAGCTGGCACGGGGTCGATGCGCGAGAACATCATCGCTGTGTTTGGCGCCAAGGCTGCTGCGGGCCTCGACCCCGTCGACATCTCCTTCCCCCTCTCCCCTGCTTCCGCCGCTGCTGCCCCTCCTGCTCCTGCTACTCCTTCTCCCGCTGCTACTGGCACAGCTGCCACTACCCCTGCGCAGCTACCACCCTCCTGCTGCACAGTAACCGGGTTTCTATCAAGGCCAGGAGCGGGCAGTGGCAGGCCGGCGGGAGATCGGCAGTTCTTCTTCCTCAACGGCCGCCTGGTGGACCTGCCGCGCCTCTCCAAGCTGCTCAACGAGCTCTACCGCTCCTTCAACTCCCTGCAGTTCCCCGCCGCTTTCCTAAACGTTTCGCTTAGCGCGGACGCTTATGACGTGAACGTGACCCCGGATAAGCGCAAGGTGTTTTTGCACTCGGAGGCGGCGCTGCTGTCGGGGCTGAGGGCGGCGTTGTCGGAATTTTATTCTCCGGATAGGTATGTCTACCGAGCCGCGCCGGCCGGTTCGGTGGGGAAGGCGATTGAGGAACGGGTGAGGAGGGAGGTTGGGGAGAAGGGACGGGTGAGAAGGGGTGTGCGGAGAGGGGTAGGGGATGGTGAGGATGAGGGGGAGGGTGTTGAGGAAGGAGAGGAAGAGGATGAGGGGAGGAGGAAGCGGGTGAGGGTGAGTGGTGGTCGTGGTGGTGGTGCTGCTGCGGGTGCAAGGGGAGGTTGTGCAATAGGAGATGCTGATGATGATGGGAGGGGGGGCGGGGGAGATGAGTTGAATGGGGAGATGGATGGGGATGGGCAGATGGAGGAGGCAGAAGGGGAGGGGGACAGAGGGCAACCTCCACATCAGTTTGATCGCGGAAAGGGAAGAGGGAAGGCAACGCGAGGGGGAGCAGTGGAGGAAGCAGCACATGAGGAAGCAGCACATGAGGAAGCAGCACATGAGGAAGCAGCACATGAGGAAGCAGCACATGAGGAAGCAGCACATGAGGAAGCAGCACATGAGGAAGCAGCACATGAGGAAGCAGCACATGAGGAAGCAGCACATGAGGAAGCAGCACATGAGGAAGCAGCACATGAGGAAGCAGCACATGAGGAAGCAGCACATGAGGAAGCAGCACATGAGGAAGCAGCACATGAGGAAGCAGCACATGAGGAAGCAGCACATGAGGAAGCAGCACATGAGGAAGCAGCACATGAGGAAGCAGCACATGAGGAAGCAGCACATGAGGAAGCAGCACATGAGGAAGCAGCACATGAGGAAGCAGCACATGAGGAAGCAGCACATGAGGAAGCAGCACATGAGGAAGCAGCACATGAGGAAGCAGCACATGAGGAAGCAGCACATGAGGAAGCAGCACATGAGGAAGCAGCACATGAGGCGGCAGTCGGGGGGTTGGCAAGGGGAACAGGGGAAGCAGCTGGAGGGCGAGGAGAAGCCCGCAAGGCAGCAGCAGGGTCAGGAGGAAAAGGAGGCACAGCAGGTGGTGCAGCAGGGGCAGCAGGAGGGGGTGCTGGCACGCTGCAGTGGAGCGAGAGCAAGGCAGCCGCCATGCGCCGACTGCTGCTCATGAGCCCCCAGGACAAAGGCAAGGCCAAGGGCAAGGCCTTGGGTCTGGGTATGGGTGTGGGTGGGGGTGGGGGTGTGCACGTGGGTATGAGCGAGGACAGAGGCAAGGATGTGACGTTCGGTGGTGGCACAGCGGACAGGAGGTCGCTGTCTCGGGGGGCAGTGAGTGGTGGGGAGCAGGCACGTGCTTGGCAGGGGTATGAGACGCGACACATGACAGGTGCTGAGCGGGAGAGAGACCGGCAGAGGGCGCAGCAAGAGGAGGAAGAGGAAGCAGAAGCGGAAGAGGAAGAGCAAGTGGAAGCGGAAGAGCCAGAGAAAGAAGAGGAGGAAGAGGAGGAAGAGGAGGAAGTGGAGGAAGAGGAGGAAGAGGAGAGGGAGAGTAAGGGAGGCAATGTGGGCAGAAGGAATGGCAGCAGCAGGGCAGTGAGGGGAGGAGGACAGCGTTCCATGGGGGGGGTTGCTACTCAGGCGCAGGGGATGGGCAGGGAGAGGATCGGGAGGGGAAGGTTGCGGGGAGAGAGCAGTGAAGGGGTGGAAAGGGCGCAGGGAGGTGCGGATGGGAGACAGGTGGGTCTTGATGCTTGGCTGGGAAAGGGGGTTGGGGGGGGACGAGGGGGAAGGGGAAGCGAGGGAGGCAAGATGGGCGAAGTGGATGGGGGGAGTGTGAGGGGGAGAGCTGGGGATGGTTGGGCGGGGCAGGGTGGCATGGAGCTGGTAGGGAAATTAGTGGAGAGAGAGGAGGATGAGGATAGTGAGGAGGTAAGGGAAGTGGGGCAGGTAGAAGGGGAAGGAGGGGGAATGCCAGCAGAAAAAGGCGAGAATCACGATGCAGGAACGAATGATGCTGCTCAATGTGGTGGGGTTCATGCTGGCTTACAGGAGGCAACCCGGGATGAGTGGGCAGGAAAAAATGTTCTGGATCTGCCCCTAATGACGCAAGAGATGACTCAGGCTGACCTGCCCGAACTTGTGGGCTCACAACTGCTGCCCGGCACCCAGTTGGCCGGGCAGCAGGAAAGTTCTGCGGTAGCAGATGGGGCAGGGAAGGGGAGGTGTTGCGGCGGGGATGCAGGGGAGTTGGAAGGAGAGGAGGGAGGAGAGGGAGGCGAGGGAGGGGATAGAATGGGAGGAATAGAAGCGGGATGGGGGGCTGCATTGGGCACGACGCGAGTGGCACGGTCAGGGGAAGGGTGGGCGGTGAAGGGCGCAGAGGGCAGCGTGCAGGTGCCGTTTGACATGCGGCGCGTGCAGCAGGTGTGGCGCAGACGAGCTGAGATACAGGAGAGAGAGGCGAGGGAGGAGAGTGCAGGGAGAGAGGGGAGAAGGGGAGTGGCAGGGAGAGGGAAGGGCGAGGGGCGGAGGAGCTTTGCAGCAGCGTCGGTGGCAGATGGTGTGAGTAACCCTGCCCACAGCAGTGGTGGAAGGAAGATTCAGCATGAGGGGGAGGCCAAGGAGGCGGCATTGGAGGCGGCAGCGAGGGAGTTAGAGAGACGGTTTGACAAGCGCGACTTTGCTAGCATGGCTGTGATTGGCCAGTTCAACCTTGGGTTCATCATTGGACGGCTGGGATCTGATCTCTTCATCGTGGACCAGGTACAGCATGCATAGTGTGAGTTACGGTGCGGTTTCGGCCTGATCTCACTCATCCCTACTGCCCATCACGTATGTGCATGCAACCGTCCCTATCTCATCCCATCTCTACCTCTCACCATCATCTCATGTCCCATCGTCTCACCCTCACCTTCCCGATGCACCATCAGCATGCGTCGGACGAGAAGTTCAACTTTGAGCGCCTCATGCGATGCACCGTGCTCAACAAGCAGCCGCTGCTCGTGTGAGTGGTGAGGGCGTGAGTGTGAGTGGTGAGGGCGTGAGTGTGAGTGGTGAGGGCGTGAGTGTGAGTGGTGAGGGCGTGAGTGTGAGTGGTGAGGGCGAATGAGGGGTTGTCCCAAGTGGTTATTTTTCGTGCGATGGATGTGGGATCAACGCTGCTCAACAAGGAGTCGCTGCTCCTAGAGCGTGAGTGGTGCGAGTGTGAGTGACAGTGTGGGAGTGAGAGTAGTGCTATTGGGATGAAGTGCTTGTATCGTGTCTTTGAATCGAGTGGCTGTGGCCTGTGCGACAGATATGCCATACACGGTGAGCCATGCCATTGTGCGTTGCAGAAAACCGCAGTGGGTCTCGATCTTATTATTGCATGGCTGAAAGTTGCTTTGAATGCTCCGTCTAATCCATACTCTTCAACAAGCTGCCATGCTCTTCAACAAGCTGCCATGCTCTTCAACAAGCTGCCATGCTCTTCAACAAGCTGCCATGCTCTTCAACAAGCTGCCATGCCCTTCAACAAGCTGCCATGCCCTTCGACAAGCTGCCAGCGATGCTATTGAGGCGGGACGGCATATCTGTATCTCATCTTGGAGTCAAATTGTTGTCAAATAGTTTGACATTGTTGTCCCACCTAGTTGCTGCTCGCCTATTTTCTTTGTTACTCCCTCGTCTCTCGAGCCCGCATCTCGTTCTTCCATAATAAGTTTTGCTTGTCTCTGCTTGCTCTCGTCAATGATGCACCTCCCCGTACTGTCCGTGCAGGCCTCAACGGCTGGATCTGTCACCAGCAGAAGAAGTGATTGTGTCAGCACACATGCCCACATTCAGGTGCACACATGCCCACATTCAGGTGCACACATGCCCACATTCAGGTGCGCACACTTGTAGGGCACACATGTAGTTTCCACTTCCTCTTCCATCGACTGCCTGTCTCTTTTGCCCTCCCCTCTGCACCCATCTCCCCCTGCACTCACTCCCTTGTACAACCGGGACATCTCTCCGTCACGCCCTTCCCTCCACTACTGACTGCATCGATCATTCAGGTCTCCTTGACCTACACTTGACAGTCCTCATGCGCTCCTCCTCCTTTCCTCTGTCTGCATTGACTCTTCAGTCCTGTCCTTGTCTTCAAACTCAACCTCACTTTACCCCTCCCATCAGATCCAACGGCTTCCATTTCTCCGTGGATGAGAGTGCTCCATCTGGCCGTCGGTTCCGCCTCTCTGCCGTTCCTTTCTCGAAGAACATCGTATTTGGTGCTTCGGGTGAGTCTGGCTTGTGATCGGTTCGCATCACCTGGTGCCCTTTGTTTCTCAGGAGCTTTTAAACGGGATAAGTTCCGCATTTATTTCGGTTACATACCTAACTCATATGCTGATACACTACCAGACGTGCAAGAGTTGTGCATCTGCCAATGTGTTTCGCTCATTAGAATCTGCCATATTTCGTCATTGTACGCTTTGGCCCTCGTAATTTTATTGCTCCTCCTGCTAATATGTGCTGTTTTTGTTTGTTTTCCTCGCTTCATCCAGATGTGTGCGAGCTCATTTCAATGCTAGCAGATGCGCCCCTGCCTGACCCAGAATCTGCTGCTGGCGCTGCCTCTGTCCCTGATGCTATCTGCTGGCATGCAACCACTGCCACAAAACATGCAAAGGGTGCTGCATCTGGTGCCGGAAACCACCAAGAAGCTTCGCTGCATGACAACTCAGCAAGCTCACCACAGCCAAGGCGCAGTGAGATTAACAACGCGAGCAGCACGGCTGGGGGTGTTTCTCCACGGGACGGGAGGTCTGGAGCTGCAGCGGTACCAGCGACATCACCATCGGCATCGCCATCAACGGTTGTGGCGGTGCGGCCATCACAGGTGCGGTCCATGCTGGCTTCAAGGGCGTGCAGGAGCTCCGTGATGATTGGCACGGCGCTCAGCCAGGCACAGATGAGCAAGGTATGACGATTCCTCCATCCATGCGTGGCGCTTTTCACAGCTAGCATTCTCTCCTTTTGTTTATTTCTGCTGTGTCAATATTGACCAAATGTTATACTACTTTTGCATGGTGTTGCAGATCCTATGCCAGCTGTCAACGTTGCAGTCACCTTGGAATTGTCCCCATGGTCGACCAACCATGCGCCACCTGTTTGACTTGAGACTTTTAGAGAAGAGCGTGCAAGACATGGATATATACTAAGAGCTTACGGGAATTGCTGTAGTTCCTTCATAATTTCTTGTACAGAAGTGTACAGTCGAACTGTACATGACTGATTAAGTGATTGAAAGTGAACGACTACTGCATATTCATACAAATGAGGTGTACTATGCAAATTGGCTTTTGTTTTTGAGAATATATAACCTCAATTCAGTGTTCTGCCACCCAACAGCTTCTCACCCAGCAGAGAAACCCCGTCATAACGAGGTCGCCTGCTTCCGCGAGCCTCCGAGGAAGGAAGGCGGAAACAACAAATAGCGCCTATCGAACATTCTAGAAGCTTGATCACCGTTGAAGTGTTCAAATCGAACGCACGCAGCACGCTATCCAATGGTTGTGCTGCAGCTTCACGCTAAGGCCGAGTCGCACAATTTTGAATTGCGGTTCCCGCATCGCATCAGTAAAAGTATATTTGGAAAGAGTCCTCCCCATCGTCATCAAACAAATTGTCAATCACCAGCTACTCTTGCTCTCTTGCTCACACAAGCACTAACGCTTCGATTAGCATTCCTGGAAAAAATATCGCAGGTCGATCAGCTGTTAGAGTTTCCTAACTTTACTCGACTTTCCCGCTGCTCAGAAACTGAGAAGCTGATATCAGTCGCGCTTCATCTTCTACGTTCAAGTTCAATCCTCGAATCCAAATGGCTCCCACCAACAACTGCGCGTGCAGCAGCGCCTGCGCCTGTTCCGCGCGCAACAACACATGCGCCTGCAAGACGACAACCGCCGCCACTTGCGCCTGCAGCAGCGGCGCCGAGTGCAGGTGCGGCTCGGGCTGCGCGTGTGACTCGTGCACGTGCCGCTCCGCCGGGAGCGCCGGAGGAACCGGCGTAGGGTGCGGCGGAAGTAACGCGAGCGCCGGCACTTGCGCCTCTGGCGAGAGCTGCTGCTGCGGGGCAGGCTGCTCCGGCGCGGGCTGCGCGTGCGGGGGGCAGGCGGGAGGAAAGTGCGCGTCCGGGGCTAACTGCAGCTGCGGAAAGGGTTGCTCAGGCGCGGGGTGCGCTTGCGGAAATGGCGGAAGTGGCGGATGCGCGTCTGGCGCTAACTGCCGCTGTGGGGAGAGCTGCTCTGGCGGAGGGTGCGCTTGCGGAGAGACTGGGGGAGTGAAGTGCGCGTCTGGCGCTAGTTGCGGCTGCGGAGAGAAGTGCTCAGGCGCAGGATGTTCCTGCAAGTAGGTTTCAGGATGAATGTGCTGTGAGGTTGCTGTGCGAAGAGAGCAGCATAGGATGCACGGCTGGTGTAACTCATGTGGTTGTTCTTTTGGTTGTGTGGTAATGATATCAAGAAATTAAACACAGCAATATGTGTGCAATGCAAACAACCCAACCTGCCTCATGGCCATAAAGCGCTGGTATTGTAGTTCTAGGCTGGCGGAGTATGGAACTATTTGTTGGAAACAATTGAATAAACACTTCTTATGTGTCGCAACACCTAACTACGAGGAACAACGGCGAGTCAATCATCGGAGGTTGATGTAAGGAAAAACCATTTTCCTTACAGGGGTTTACTCAACCTCGTACAACCCCAACTTTCGGAAGTGCACGTTCGGCCACTTTGCTTGCTGCCTAAGCAACCTCGCGTCGCCTTCGGCCTTTCCTTTGCCCAACCTGCACCCAACCTTGTCAGAATCCCAGCCACTAACCACTGGGATAAAAGGGCTTGTTTGTGTAGCGGGTGAGTGCGCCCATAACCCCCCAGGCCAACGTGCCTGTAACCCTTCCCTAGGATCAATCGGGGATCACCAGTGGACCTCTGACAAACCTCGTGTTCCCGAGGTTCCCGCTGTTACAATCCCAAGTGGGACTTAGTGAAGGATCGTTCAGGGTTGATCGCAGAGTAGTGTTGCAGCGGAAGTTTTGAATCTCAGGTTAGAGTGAATGTAAATGACTGAGTTGATAAAAGCATGCATATATCGAGTTTATATAAGAGTACAGAGGAATACGAAAAGACCTAGGCTAGCCATGTACTCTAAGGGGTACATTCCCTTATTACAACAAATTCAAACCGTGCGGCGCAGGAACCCGTTTTGAACATGTTCCCGCTCTTTTCATTTCAAGTGTTTCTGCCTGCATCGGTCTTGGTCAGACGGTTGCTGCGTCGCTTCGACTCTTCTGACTCCTCGACTTCGTACTCGGTAGAGTCGGCTCCTGCAGCATACAGGAATGCCTTACTCATAAAACTTCATATCGTAACACTCCCCTTCATTTCTGGGCGCAGTAGGAGCTGACTCGCTTGACTACTCCGGTGAGGTCAGAGCAGTGTTTGTACTGCTGACGTGGCAGGCGCTTGGTGAGAAAGTCTGCTGCCATCTCAGTAGTCGGGCAGTAGGCGAGGTCAACCTTGCCTTGGTCAATTTCGTCTTTGACGAAAAAGTACCGAAGAGCGATGTGCTTCGTGCGGTTCACGAAGCCAGGCTTGTTTGCAATCCTGATGGCAGTTTGGTTGTCGCAGTGAAGGCGAAAGGTAGGCGAGGTTGGGATTTTTGCTTCCTGTAACAGCTCTTGCAGGTACAGGCCTTCGCGAACTGCTGCTGTCGCGGTGATGTATTCAGCTTCAGCCGACGACAGGGCAACCAGCTCCTGCTTTTGTGAGTTCCAGGAGATTGGTCCAGTTGGTTCCAGGCGAAAAACAAAGCCGGTTCGGGACCGTCGATTGTCAGGGTCAGCGGCGTGATCTGCGTCCACGTAGCCGTTGAGGTTGAAGGAGGTCGTCGTCAGCGTGGAATAGGAGAGCCCAATGTCAGGCGTAGAGATGAAGTACTGCAAGGCGCGTTCCAGGTCCAGCTGGTTCTCAGCTACTGGCTTGCTAGAATACTGCGCCAGTTGGCTAGCGATGTACGAAAGGTCAGGTCGACAGGTGACAGAGGCGAACAGCAGACAACCCAGTTGCTGATGGTACAGTTGGAGTCCTGCGGGTGATAGTGGTTTGTTGTCCGGTTTGTGGTTGGTGCTGGGGTTGCGTGCGGGAGAGATGTTGAAGCGTTCCCCCAGCTGCTCTGCATACTTGGAGGCTGACAGATGAATTGCTTCTGGCGCGTAAGTGATGTTTAACCCCAAAAACTGCTTCACTTCGAGGTTGATGGTGATGTCTACGCGCTGTCAAACTTATATGCTATAGTCTTTCTAGGCTGTAGTGGGGTAGACAGTATGGGGTACAGCTTTCTAGGGTTTCATATTTGTACCCAACTCATTTCCTAGTTCATCATTCATTCCTCATTTCTTCACATGGTATAGAGCAGGTTCCCTAGTTGACGACTACTCGCGTTACACCACAGTCTTCCCCTTGCGCAGCAAGGGTGAGGTCACTGGGGTGTTGATCGACTGGATCCGCGCTGCTCGTCTCCAGCTCAGAGAGAGTTTCGGCTCTGACTTTCCTGTTCTGCGTCTGCACTCCGACAGAGGCGGAGAGTTCTCCTCTGACCTTCTGCGAGCCTTCTGTCGTGCACGAGGCATCCGCCAGACGTTCACGCTTCCGGCCTCTCCACAGCAAAATGGGATTGCTGAGCGCCGCATTGGCATGGTCATGGACGTCGCCCGTACGTCCATGATCCATGCGGCTGCCCCCCATTTTCTGTGGCCGTTCGCGGTTCAGTACGCGGCGCATCAGATCAACCTTCAGCCCCGGGTCTCCATGCCGGAGACCTCCCCTGCTCTGCGGTGGACGGGGAAGGTTGGCGATGCGTCTGCGTTCCGTGTTTGGGGATCTCGGGCGTTTGTCCGCAACTTGTCTGCGGACAAACTGTCCCCCCGTGCTGTTCCCTGCGTCTTCCTTGGCTTCCCCCCTGACGCGCCTGGTTGGAAGTTTTACCACCCCACCTCGCGCCGTGTTCTGTCCTCTCAGGACGTCACGTTTGAGGAGTCGGTTCCCTACTACCGTCTCTTCCCCTACCGCACTGCGTCCTTCCCCCCGCCGCCGCTCTTCCTCGCGCCAGGTCCCCCCCGGTAGACCCCCTCCCCCCTCAGGGTCCTGCCCCCTCAGGTGTGTCCCAGGTAGACGCAGTCGAGCCTGTCGAGGTAGCTGTTGACTCTGGTGCTGCTAGGGGTGCTGAGCCTGCGGGTGCGGGGCCTGGGGGTGCTGACTCTGGGGGTGGTGAGCCTGGGGTTGCTGAGCCTGGGGGTGCTGAGCCTGGGGGTGCGGAGCCTGGGGGTGCTGAGCCTGCTCGTGTGGCGTCTGGAGGGACTGGGCCTGGAGGTCCTTCGGGTGCTTCGTCCCGGCGAGAGCTACTCTCTCCACAGGAGCTGCGCGAGTGGTTTGCTCGGCGCTGGAGCCGTGCTGCTGGAGCTGGAGGTCTGCTGGTGCTGGAGGTTCTACTGCTGCTGAGGGTGCTGGTGCCACGGGTCCCGGAGGTGCTCGTACTGGAGGTACTGGAGCTGCTGGGCCTGCGGGTACTCCTTGTGCTGGAGCTGCTGGAGGTGGTGGAGCTGGAGCTGGAGCTGCTGGGGGTGTTGGCGCTGGAGGTGCTGCTGGTGCTGGTGCTTCTGAGGGTGCTGGTGTTGGTGCTGTTGGAGCTGGTGCTGCTGGCGCGGCTGGAGCTGGGGGTGCTACTGGAGCTGGTGCTGCTGTTGGGGGTGCTGGTGCTGGAGCTGCTGGCGCTGCTCTAGCTGGGGGTGCTACTTGAGCTGGTGCTGCCGTTAGTGGTGCTGGTGCTGTTCCTGCTGGTTCTGGGGGTGCTGCACGGCCGCGGCCGTACTTCGTTCCGCTCCTTGAGCAGGTTCTTGGTCTTCCGCCCTCTACTAGTCCTGCT